CAGTTGCGCCTTTTATTTTATGTATAATATTGTTGAGTAGTTCAATGATTTAAGGAATTTTACGTCTGTTCAGTTTATACTAAGTCTTTTGTTGAATAAGAAATGTGAACAGTTTTAAAATGACGATAAAAAATTGATGCCCTAGGTGAAATTCTTATCGAATGACCTAATTCAATTTTTCTCGTTCTATTCCAAACCATATCTTTAAAGAAAATCCTTCAACGTCTTTATGGGGATCCACATTTTGTACCAGAATCCATTATAGTTCAACGTCATTATTTCAAGGTCGATTAATTTTATTTCCATGCTTCTAGGTCACATTTGAATTACATTCAATCGAAATTATTCAAACAAATTCTTCCATCATTTGAACAAGAAATATTTAATCCTAGTTTTTTAGTGTTCTTTCGTTTTTTTTTTTTTTTTTCTTAAAATGAACGAATTTCAGTATTTTAAACTTCTTTGATATTCCTGGAAGGTGAATAAGAAAAAATATTGTATTCCCTTGTTGGAGAAAGACTATGCCAGAATTGAATTGGAGCTTTATGCCAAAGGCGTACAGTTTCCTTCTTAAGAATTCTGACGAGTTGTAGCTTCGTCAGCTCGAATCAAACTTCCGTCAAAATGTACGACAGTCGTTTTACGAGTAAATTAGGCACCACTCTAACTCTCCTATCCTGATTTACAATATGTGTAGTGTATCTGTGTGTCTATGTGTGAGATTTACTCTTGGCATGAGGCCCTGGTGCTACTGCTACTCTTGCTAGTGCTGCTGCTGCTGCTGTCTTTGCCGAAAAGATGAAAGAAAAAAAAGAAGACTCGTGAGGAAAGAAGAAGAAAATGATTTTGTAGAAAAAGAGAGAAAGAAAAAAAAGTCTGGCCAATGTCCAAGACTTTTATTTCAACCACCCTCGCTGAGAGTGGTTCAACCTCGTCCCGAATCTGCTCGAGTAATCGCCATTTTTCTTAACTCGTGCGTCAACCACGTGACTACTTCTTCTTCTTCTTCTTTTTCTTTTTTCTCTTCACATTTTTATTTTCTTTTCCACTCTAGCGTTTCTTTCATATTTCTTTCGAGCGTCGTATTTTCGTTGGATAATTTTAAAAGAAAGAGGAGGAACTTATCAACGAAACCGAAAACGTGGGAGACCGTTGGACTCTTTCTCTCTATCTTCGTTTAGGTTTTTCGAAGAAGCAAAGAAAAAGAAAATGAAAGAAGATGCGAGCAAGAGAAGGAGAGAGAGAGAAAGAGAGAGGCCATCAAGCAGAAATAGACTGACTCTAAAATAAGCATGGAAGACGAGACGCCATGCCAAAAGAGACACCGCATTTCGTGTGTCCATGAACAGTGTCTTTTGCGTTAGCCAACTCGTCGTCGTTCATTCACTCGACCAGTTTAGATTCTCGTTATCGTATCTCTACCACTATCAAAAGCTGACGACTCTGGTTCACCGCAAGAGATGCTATTTATCTAATACATATATATATATATATATATTCTTTATCCTATTTTACGTCGTAACACCGACCCCAATTAATCTTTGATACATTTCATACATCATCTTGGTTATCTTGTTAAATTCTTCATTTATTTCTTAACCACATTAATTTATGTAAAGTCAAATTTTTACTTTCTTTTTCTATTCTGTTATAATTATTAAAATATATAATAAATTTGTTTATTTAAATCGTCACCATAGTCTTTTCAAGAAACAAAAGAAAGTATAACCTGCGAAACAAACGACAATCTAACCGCGAAATAAAAGAAAGTCGAGCCCTGAAACAAACGACAATCTAACCGCGAAACAAACGACAGTTGAACCTCGAAACAAAAGAAAATTGAACCGTGAAACAAACGACAGTCGAACCGCGAAACAAACGACATTCTAGCTGCGAAACAAAAAAAAGTTCAACCGCCAAACAAGAGCAAATTGAACCGCGAAACAAACCACAATCTAACCCCGAAACAAACGACTGTCTAACCGCAAAACAAATCAATGCCTAACCCTAAAACAAATGACGTTCGAAGCTTTGCCTCATTATTTATAGAACGAAATAAATGCTTATTTGATGATGCAAGATTTAAAAAGAATATTAACAAACCTGTTTTAGAACAAACCTATTAAAACTTTAACAACCTTCTGATTGACCAAACTCACGTGCGTGATCTGACCATTGTCGGTCATAGAATACAAACGCCTTTTCTTATTCACCAATTCTGATCTCTTCTGGTTAATGACAACGTCCTATTCATCTATTCGACATCGTATTACTAATGTCCGATCGTTTTTGTAACAGTTCAACAAAAAAATTCTATTTCATTGCAATAGTTCCACCAATACAAAGAACTGAGCCTTCTTTTGATGAATATCCTCGTTTCGTATCGATCGAGTAGGGTTCATTTCTCATGTACCGTGATCGTTTTCGTTTAACATTGTCATAAACGATCCATTTGTCATCTCCCACCACTCCCCAGGTTTTTCATTTCAAAAAGTGAATCATTTTGTTTGGTTGCTTTGCAATGAAATCGCAAAATGGGATTTACTGTGTGTACGATTGAAACATCAGTTTTATGAACTAATCCCATGATATTTTAATGAAATATAATAAAGGACATATCGATGATTAAAATCTAATCTCTCGTTCAATGCAATATCATTTTGTATTCAACAAAATGGATAAATGTCTGAACAGTTATTTGAATTTTTTGTCAGCCTTGGTAAATTTCGAAGCAACATCATCACCATTTCGTAGTTAATGAGAGTAGAAAGATGGGGGGGGGGTTTGAAGAGGTGACCAATTTAAAGTGAACTCGCGTAAGGTAACTAGGAAACATTTGGGAAAGTGCAATCGATAGTTTGATCGAGTTTACCATCATCCCATTCCACCCATCTCGAGAGTAGATTCGATAAACGACGCGACATTGCATGCGCGAGAACGAACCCCCCCTCTTGTTCAACTTTCTTCTTCTTCATCTTCTTCTTCTTCCCACCGAATACACTTAATTCATTACCCTAATTGCCAAAGCACCATGGCCTCGGTGCAGAAACCATTTCCGCTCGTCTAAACCACTATGGGTCTGGGGACGTGTTACGTTACACACACATACACAGTATTTGGAAACTTTACTCATAGAGAAACTTCGATTGATGAAAATGTTCCTTCCATTTACCTATGACCGTTTATTTCATATTTTAACATCCTAATTATACATTAACACAACACCTAATTAAATATTTCCAACTAGAAACTCTAATTATATGTTCAAGTTTGTAACATCAACTTTGATTAGAATAATAACAACTATAATTAATTGAAATATTATTTCAAGGTCGTTAGAATAAAAATCTCACAACGCGTCAATATAGATCAATAATATGCAACTACGTTTAATCTAGCACGATCAAGGAATTAAATAAAATAAATATATAAAGTGTGACAGACGACAATATATGATTGTCTAGTTTGACGAGACAACGTTTCATTCGATCGGGTTAAATGCAAGGCAAACAACGCCAGCCAAGGCATTCGTGTAAGAATGCGGAATGAGCTGCAATGGCGCCGTTCAATTAGATAGGATGCTACGCATGCGAAACGGGTTGAGGAGAGAGAAGAGGATACCAGATGACTGTCTGTGCTTGTTTGCGTATGTAGAAGAGAGATAGAACAGAACAGAACTGAACAGAACAGTACAGAACAGTACTGAACTGAACTGAACAGGACGACAAAGCACACATATCCTAGGAAACAGTTGGATGGTCGTTGCGGATAGTATCGAAGTTGTAAGCGCAGTCGCGTGTGGACGTTCATCGTCGTCGTCGTCGTCGTCGTCGTCGCCGTCGTCGTTGTTGTCGTCGTCGTAGTCCTCGTCGTACGTCGAAACCCTGCACAAATGTATCCCTCAACTCATACATATTCTCGCACACTTTACGCATACCTTTAAAGATAGGGACACGTATACAGTGTAACAGACGCACGCGCAAATACTCGGTGTATCCTCATCGGATAAACGCACCCCACGTATGCAACGGCGTTGCCCGTTGGAGTGCTTCTCCCCCTCCGGGTAATAACAGTAAATCCTGAGCAATAAATCCCTCTCCTCTCAGTCTCCCTATTTCCTTCTCTCTTCCTCTTTCTACCTGTCTGCCCCGCCCTCGCTCGCTTGCTGCATCTCTCTCTTTCTCTTTCATTCTCTTACCCTTCTCCCCTCCTCTCTTTCTGCCTTTACTCGAGACCCCAGAATGCGTGTATTGCGTGTATGGTTGTAAATCGTTCCCATGCTATAGTCATGTATCTACTGGGTTAGTCGTAGACCCCTTGAACCTCTCTCTATCTCTCTTTGTGTGTATATGTGTTTGCAACGAGGACCGGAAACTGAAGCATATACCAACGTTAATCTGCTCCCTCCCACTTAACCATCCTCACTATCCTCAACCCAATCTCCCAACCTCATCCCATTGGATGTGTGCATTGATCCTTTACTACTAAATCCTGAATCATGCTCTGCCAACGTTACTTCCAATCGAGGTCACCGAGATCGCGGTTAGAAATGACGAGGCACGTTGTTCGCGTGCCTTTACCGGAGAGACTAACAGACGTCTGGGATTTCTTAACGAGGAAGTAACTTTATTATATTACGTCGATTCTTTCGTCATTCGTTCATTTCATACTTTATTATTTGTTTGTAATCTTAAATGGGATGGTTTTGTAATTCTTTCACGAGACAAAGATTTTGTTGTATGATTTTGATTCCAATAACATTGGGTAGGATTTTCGTATATTTTGAACACGTGTGCATTAACCTTATAAAAAAATTTAGAACTGTTGTCAGGACATTGGTTAACCCTTTTGCTTCAAGCGCCGGATATATCCGGCATCTACGCGATTACTTGTGTGTACTGAACTGCCGAAGCGGAAGGGTTAAAAATTGTATTCCTATTGGTTTTATCCCTTCTTGTTAAAAATTTGTAACACATTGGGAATCGTTTTTTGTTTTGCAGATAAAAGTACACCAAGGAATAATCGTAGAAGACGAATAAGCGAAGGTGTTAACAAAACAGAAAAGGATAGTGAGCCTGTGTTATCATCAACCAGACAAGAGGATCGTGAAAACAAGGGACCCTCAACTGGTAGATTTGGTAATCGTATATCACGTTCGACGTTGGAAGAAACAAACAGTGGTTCGGGTAGCGCGACCAAGTTACGAAAACGTGCGGTTACGTTACGCAGTTTATTGGAAAGTGTAACGAAAAGAACTGTTAGAAGGAAATTGAGACCGTGCGTACAAAAGACAAAGAAGGATAACGAAGAATTAGATCGTCGACGTAGCGTAGTTAAGACCAACGAAACTAAAGGAGGAGGAGGAGGAGAGGAAGAGGAAGAGGAAGAAGAGGAGGAAGTAGAAGAGGAACGTCTTAGTAGTAATAAATCAGAAGAAGAAGAGGAAGAAGAAGAAGAATCTGAACATACGGAAGAAGAAGAGAAACGTGAACACAACGATCCCCTATCGAAAAGACTGAAAACAAGTCCGATTGGTCGAAAGTTAAGATCGGATCATCGTAAGTCGAAGAACTCGGAAGAATCTTTGGTGGATCGTGTCGATCCGGTTGAACAGAACACCAAAGAAGAAGAAAGAGAGAAGGAGCAAGAGGAGGAAGAGGAAGAAGAGGGTGATCGTGAGGGTGTAAAAAGGCGGTTGGACAAGTCTGAGGAAGACAAGGAAAGCCAGTCGAGAGAACGAGATCAGGAACCGGAGCCCCCACCTTTGGATAGACTTGATCCTGGAGGTAAGGTTACTTCGGAGAATCCCGAAATCACGTTAGATGCACAGCAGAAGAACCTTTCGGATGAGTCAATTTTCGTGAATGGCTCTCTCGTTGATTCGGATTTCGAGAGGAGTAGGAAGAAGAAGAAGGAGGAGGAGGTGGTCGTCGATAGCTTTGAAAGTAAGTCGTTAAAGTTGTCGCCAAGATCGTCCAGGTCGACGACGTCTCCAGGACGATCGAAGGCTGCAACGAAGGATTTTGTCGAAGGTGAGAAGGAAGGGGGAAAAGAGGGAAGTGAGGGTGGAGAAGCCGAGGCTGGGGCCGAGGCTGAGGAGGAATCCAAGAGGAAGGACGGCGAGGAAAGACGGAAAAACGATTGCAAAAAGGAAAGGAAAGAGGAGAAGGAAGAGGAGGAAAATAAGGGTGAGGATCGTGGGGCACAACGATCCCCTCGAAGAACCGTGCCGAACAACGCCGAGCTAGGCACGGAAGATAGCGTGGGTAGTGCTAGCGTTGAGTCGGTCGTCGAGCTGCTGGAGTCGAGTAGTCAGGACTCAGGCTCCGTGCTGGAGAGGCTGAGTCCACTTAGCAGCGGTGGCGGCGGCGCTGGGAGGCAGAACAATTCGCTCCTCGAACAGCAACGGGAGCAAGAACGTAGTCGGCACAACGAGAGCCCTGTCATTCTAGCCGAAAAATTAAATAAGCCTCCACCGCCGGTCGCCGGCCATCATCATCATCATCACCACCAGTACCACCACCAGCAACAACAACAACAACATCACCACCAACAACAGCAGCAGCAACAACAACAACAACAACAACAACAACAGCAGCAACAGACTCAGCAGCAGCAGGTTCAACAGCAACACCAACAACAACAGCAGCAGCAACACCACCACCATCATCATCATCAACAGCAACAACACCAACAACAGCAACACCTACAACAGCACCAACCACAGGGACAGCAACAACAACAAGCGCACCAACAGCAACAACAATCCTATCACCATCATCCGGCGTATCATCATCAGCAACAACGATACTCGGCCGATAGTCCGGTAATCCATCATCCTCTCTATCACCAGCAACAACAATCAAGTGGAAGTCAACACAGGCAACAGTTAGCAAGCAGTCCACAACAGCTTCACCAACATCATCATAATTTAAGCTCAGTGAGCCTACTCGAGGTGCAACAACAGTCCCACGCAACGAGAGGCGGCGATGAGTCCGGCCTCATGGAGGTGGAGACCGGGGCCGGTATACATGGAACTGGCGTCCTCGGTGGTGCGATCGGCGTTAGAGGTGCGGTCGGTGTCGTCGGTGGTGGTGTTGCTGTTGGTGGTGGTGGTGGTGGTGCGGCGAGTGGTGCTGCAGGTGCATATGGGGACAGCGGTTCAGACAGCGGGGTAAGTTCCCTGAGGAGTGCGGGCTCGGGTGACGAAAGAAGCGGCAGCAGAAGTTCGGCGCTTAGCGTCGAGGAGACTACGAGCTCTTCGACGCCTAACGCGGCGGCTACGCCGGCCAGAGTCTGGCACGTCCAGAGCGTGCAACATACCTCTCTACTGATGGCACATCCTCAGGCTCCACCGAGTGCCGGGAGCAGTTCCGCAGCAGCAGCGGCTGCTGCAACGGCGGTTCCACCGGTCGCTTACCAAAATCCTGCACCACCTGGACATCACCATCCTGCCGTAGCTACCGAGATGCTTTGGAGGCCACAGAGATATCCCCCATTACCCCCTGGTATACTTGGACCTGTTCAACACACTCCCGAGGAACTTCTTGAAAGGGAACGTCAAGAGCGTCACGAGAGGATGTTTCGGTGAGTCCTTAGATTTTCTTCTTACTTTCCATTCACTACATACAAATTTAGACAATTTAGGACATCTCTGGAATATGCTATTAACAGTCATTATCAAGACTACAAAGCAGGGAATCTAAAGAAGTCGTACTCTGACTTTTAGTTTACGTGCATAGGATCTTTCTGACTCTATAGAAATCAGTATTCTACAAGAATCTTTTTGGTAGGGATAATAAGCAGGTTTCGAAGGAACGATTAACTCGACAAGTTTCTTAGTCGACTCTGATGATTACCTTCCTTCTTTCCTTCCTTCCTTACTGTCCAATTGAAAAAGATTCTTTCAAAGAGTATTATACTTTTGTATAATCGCGAAAGAAAGCAAACGTTTTGAATGCACCGCCCGTCGTTGAATATTATCGATAGTAAGAAAGTTTGAAACGTTCTTCTTCAGTTGTTGTTACTACTGCCATGTTTCTCATGGGATTCTTCGAAGAAGAACATATAAACGAAATTTCTCTCAGTGAAAAAGATTATTATACGTATGTACAGTTGGTTATGTCTTCGTACACCAAAACCGATGAAATTGAACAGCTCTCTTAACTTACGTTCATCGGTTTCTTGTAGCCGGGCCTGTTTGTTTGCACTTAAGAACGCGGCACTGAGTGAAATACAGGCGTACACGCCAAACCAGATCGCGCTTTCCTTGAGTGGTTTATTTATTCTAGCGAAAGTAATGCGATGATGATGGTAGTGGTAGTAGTAGTAGTAGTAGTTTGTTGCCAAGCTCGATGGGATGAATGCTGCATCAACCCCTACCCGTTCCTCTATCTCCGAATTCATCACTAAATCATCTTCCCTCTTTAATTTATTCCTGAATTTTATTCTCTTGACAAAAAATAATAAATCAAATGGCATTTCGTTTGTATTCGTGAAGTAGATGACAACTTCTTGTACCAAGAACTGTTCACAAATTTATGTACATATTTGATAAATTGTAAACAATGAAAAGATAATCCAAATATGGTGTTCCTAAAATGTGAGATACTTTTTTTTTTTTTTTTGTTGAACCTCTTAGCCCAATTCAAATAGAAGTGTAGCCAATTTTGTTTCCTTCTTCTGGAAAGAAGGCGATCACGAACCAACGCCGCACTGTTATTCTGCTCCAAATACGTCCAATTGCGTACTCTGAGGCTCCAGGGCACTTGCTATGTAACGACCACGATTTAACGCTTATGCAAGTCCGACCTCTTCGATGCTAGCAAAGAGGTTAAAAGAAAAAGATGGAGATAATCATTGACTGTGGCTACGGAAACTAGCATTCGAGCACAAGGTCGTATGATAGAACTCCACAAGACTTTTTTTTTTTAATTCTTTATCGGTAAATCTCGTCAATGTCCAAATCATCTAAACAAATTGTTAAAAACAATTTCAAACTTAGCTATTGTGAACAATTTTTTGTCCCATCATAACAGTGACCCTAAACATTTAACCAAAATTATAAAAAAATGACTATAATTTGATATACAGGATGTTTCATACACCCCAATAAAATTGGGTGTTGTAGAAACGAGATTCTACCCAATGAAGAATCAAATTTAGCAGAAAAAATATTTCGAATACTTCGATGAATCATTGTAAGATAAGTAAAAATAAATTCTTGTAAAAAAACAAACAAGAATAAGTCTTTTATTTTTGATAACATCCACACAGTAGAAGAAAATCAGAGCATTCATCGAACGTATTATTGCGTATATCAGTGACGTTAATAGCATATGTTAATTACGCATACGAGTTCATTGTCCGGACAATGATTAATGACACGTTTAACTTGAAATGGGGAGAATAAATCATGTTCACCAAAAATAATCCCATCCTATTTTTTATTTTCATTTTGAACTATCATCCGATACTTCAAACTCATCAATTTTGATAAAGCGTCGAGAATATGTTCAACAATTCTAAAAGATATCAAAAAAGGAAGTAAAAAAATGTATACAAAAATTACAATGAGTTGGATTGCGAAATCCTTGGAAAACTATGATGATAGGAAAAAAAAAAACAGGAGCAAGAAAAACTTGAGTAGTTTCGCGGATCGTTTGTGTTGTTCGAGGACGAAGCGTTACGGTTTCGCTTGGGTTACCTTGCCACCGTTCGATGACTGTTCTCGTGACAAGAATTGCAGTAGAGTAGTTGTGTGTGTGTATGTGTATCTTTGATACAACAAAATAAGAGAAAGAGAGGTTAGCCTCGTGTCGTTTCTCGTTACGGAACGAATAACACAGTGCTTTCCGGGAGACTTTCTTTCTTGCGGTCACTCGCCTTCGTAAGAATCAACGAATGGTACCAACCAACCAGCGTGTTTGTTTGTCATAAAATGTCGATAACGTAACAAGAGTTGTCGGGTAACGTTATTATCCTGTTTTTTGCATTCCGCAATAGAAAAAGAAAAAGAGAACCCTCTATCATCAACTTTGTTCTCTTCTGATCTACTCTGCTCTGCTCTGCTTTGCTCTTCGTTTTGCTTTGCGGTTTGAAATAACGCGCATACGCCAATGTTGAAAGTAAAAACGAGTGTATCTGAATCAATGGATCGTTCCATTAACATTGATGATACACCACATCCATTTGTCCAAATGAAAAAAAGTATGTCATTTCGTTTTCTATCAAGTATTAAAGCAACATTGATTTTATATTTTTTTTTGATAAAGTATTGATGTTTAGAAAATGCAAGCTATTTATGTAACATAAATTTGCATTATTGCATAAGTTCAACTATTATAAAAATAAAACCCAATGAACCCGTCAAAATCCTTTGACACAACAAGAGTCGTATTTTATCAATCAAACAATTGGATTCTGATATCATCCAAAAGAAAAAACTAGGTATACATGAAATTCGGGATAAAATTTAAACATTGATAGGTCGATTCTCTGATGCCATTGAACGTACGAGCCAATTTTATTCCGAGGTCATCTCGTTATCATGACCGACGACGAGAAATGAAAGGGTGGGAGAAGGGACACACAGAAACGAGCGACGAGGATGATGCATCGTGTTGGGTGACAGGGTTAGGTGAGGATTGAGGGGTTGGGTAGGATAGGGATAGTGGTATTGGATGAGGGGTAAAGTGGGGAAGAGGATAACGCCGGATAGAGATAGGTGAGGTGGGGTAAAGTGTCGTTCTCGATGAGCGAGTGGGCGAACCAGATAGTCGAGGCAATGATCAGCGTTCATTATGCCGATCACGCGGTCCACGTCCATCAGTGGTCGCGGATGGTTTACATCACGGCCGCACATTATTCCGCAGAGACCATTCCGCACATGCGTCATGCAAATTCTCTTTAGGAATGACGACGACAAATTTTAGATCTAACCGGTTATTGTTTTCTACAATCTAAAAGATTATTCCTTTGTTTTTAATCATTTTGATCTAGACATTTTTTATTGAATCAAAATATTTCAAGAAATAATAATAAACAAATCTCAGATGAAACAAAACACGATCGAAGTCTGATCGTCTGTTCGTTCAATCGGAAATCTTGACCTCGTCGTACTTGACAATTAAATATTTGATTGTCCTTTCAAGATGACCGGTCCCCCAGACATTTAGGTATTCTATTATTGGACAATTGTTAATCAATTTTTATAGGCTAACTAAGCCTGATCGATCAAACGATATATGATTAGTCCAACTATATATATATGCAAGTCAATTAACTGATTAATTGTACTATTTTCTTTGATTAACCTTAGGATTTATGTATGTCATGTTACTCTCAAGCATAATCTTCTAAAAGAGACAATTTTGTTTTTTTTTATTTGTTCAATTACCAAAAAAAAAACAATTTGTTTATTAGTTAACAACTAAGAAACAGTTTTGGTTTCACGTATACTAAGTCCAATGAAACGTGACTATGGTTGGATCACGGTACTTTTACCTGTTCCTAGCCCTTTCACCTCCTTGCCATGCTTCTCATATCCCAGTAGAAACTTTACCGTTAACTCAGCCCACGCACTAGTATTTAAAAAGTTCTAACCCGCGTTAGAGTCGTGTTAGAGTCAATTTCAATATGGTTACTTAACCTAACCTATATACATATTATAACCGATCAATTAATTATTACCAAAAGTCATATTTTTCATTAACTGGACACACTGAAAATGATCAATCTTATATTATGACCAATAATAAACAAAATAATATTAATTGTTATAATTATAAAGTAAAAAAGTAATAACGATATTTAAAACCACG